CTTATTTTTTTCTTATATTTTTGTTATAGGGCATGTGCACTTGCTGGAGAGACAGAGTCAGAGAGAGAGAAAGTGATAAATAATCCCCCACCACCACCACCACAGTAATCCCTTCTCCTCCATTCTACTCTCAGGATTTCGAGCATGCATGCACAGGCACTCAGCATCAGTTTCAAGACTCTAGGTCTAGGACTTGAACCACAGTTGACCAACTGGGAATCCAGCACCTTAACCAATACACCTCCTGCTGGCCCATGAACCCTTATTTCTTTATAAATCACCCAAACCTAGGTCTCTCTTTTAGCAATACAATAACAAAGACAATGTATGCACATTGATAGGCACTCATGTTGTTTCCTTATTTTGGTTATTGTGAATAAGCTGCGATGAGCATGGGAGCTTAGAGCTCTCTTTGAGTTTTCATTTCTTTTGGGTATATACCTAAGTGGGCTTGCTGGATCAGATGGTAGCTCTACTTTTTTTTTTTTCTTTTTCAAAAACCTTTGTACAATTTTTAATAATAGCTGTACTAATTTGTATTCCCACAATGTACCACACTTACTTTTATTTAATCCTCAATAACCCTTGCTGTATCTGCTCTTTTTGAGAATAGCCTTCCTAACAGTTGACAAGAGACACCTGTGAGATAGATACATTCTTGGACTCATAGAACATACCTAGATTGAACCAAGAAGAAACAGAAAACCTGAACAGACAAAAAAAACATGGAACGTAAATGAATCAGTAATGGACAGTTTTCTGACAAAGAAAAGCCTGGGTTCAAATGGCTTTACTTCTGAATTCTACAAAAATTTTAAAGAATAATTGACTTCAATTTTCCTCAAGCTATTTCTAAAGATTCAAATAAAAGAAAGTCTCTTAATCCCATTCTATGAAACCTGCATCGCTTTGAAATATAAAGCGGTTAAGAACAGAAAGAAAGAAAGAAAACTATACACTAATATTTCTAATGAATAAAGAAACAAATTTTCAAAATAAAAGACTAGCAAATTGAATGCAATAGCACATTAAAAAGATTATATACCATGACCAAATGGAATTTACCCAAGCGTTGCAAGGATGGCTCAACATATGCAAAACAATAGTGATAAATCACATTAACAAAAGAAAAAATAAAAACCACATGATCATATCAATAGATACAGAAAACACATTTTAAAAATATGACATCCCTTCATAATTAAGACTCTCAATAAGATAGGTATAGAAATAAATTTCTCAACACAATACAAACTAAGTATGACAAACTTATAGCTAATATGTTGAATGAAGAAAAACTGAAAGTTTTCCAGCTAAAATCTAGAGCAAGACAAGATTGTCTACTTTCTCATTCCTCTTTAGCACACTACTGAAAGTTCCAACCAATGCAGTCAGAAAAGTGAATAAAATAAAAGGCATTTGGGTAGCAAAAGAAGAAGTGAAAATGTCCCTATTTGCGGATAACATGATTATATACATAGACAATCCAAAAGAATCCCGGAAAAAATACTCCTACAAGTGATAAATGAATTCAGTAAAGATGTAGTATATAAAATCAATGTACAAAAATCTAAATCCATTGAAGCCAGCAGTTGGCCCAGTAGTTGCAGTGCTGGACTCCCACATGGTTAACCATGGTTTGAGTCCTGGACCCAGCAGCCTGAAACTCACACTGGGCCTATATATGTGCAGAGCTAAAGTCTAGAGAGGAGAAGGGAGAAGGGATTGCAGCATGGCCATCCCTCCTTTGGGGGGTGATTTCTCGCTCTGTCTCTGGGGAGTGTACACACCCTATAGCAAAAATTTCTCAAAAAAAAAAAAACAAAACAAAAAGGTAACTAGAGCCTATTTATAAAGCAACAATGAATAGACTGAGGCGAGATTGAAGAAAACAATCCTTTTTACAATAGTCACCAAAAAAAAAAAAAAAACAAAAAACACCTAGGATTGAATCTAACCAAAGCGATGAAGGACATCTATGAGGAAAACTATTAAAAAAAAAATCCTGAAGAAAAAAATTAAATATGATACAAAAAATTATTTTAAAACATCCCTTTTTCTTGGATTGGAAGAATCAATATATTTAAAATGTCAAATAAATCCAAATTAATTTACAATATTAATAGAATTTCAATCCCTCTCTCTTTCACCAGTAGTAAAAATCAACTCAAAATGGGTCAAAGATCTAAATGTAAAGCCTCAAACTATAAAACTACTTGTGGAAAATACAGACAAAACACTTGAAATCATTAGAGAAGGTAAAGATTTCTTAAATAAGACCCCTAACTACAGGTAACAATTCCAAAAATAGATAAATGGATCACATCATGCTAAAAAAAAACTTCTGCAGAGCAAAGGAAACAATAAGTAGAGTGAAGTGACAACCCAAAGAATGGGAGGAAATATTTGCAAACTATATTTCAGATAAAGGATTGATAGCAGTTCCTCTACAAAATAATAATAACAATAATAATCCAATTAAAAATGAACAAATGAGCCGAGAAGAAAACTCTCAAAGGAAGACATAAAAAATTGGCCAAAAATCATATGAGAAAAATGTGCGCTGTCTCTTAGCATAAGAAAAATGCATATCGAAACCACAAGATACCATTTAACCCCTGTTTGAGTGACTAAGGCCAAAAATTATGAATGGCAAGTACTGGTGAGTCTGCCATGAAAAGGAAACCTTCCTGCACTGTTGGTGAGAATGTAAACTGATACAGCCACTGTGAAAAATATGAAGGTTCCTCAGAAATCAACAATAAAACTACCATATGACCCAGTAATCCCACTCCTTAACATTTACTTAGGGGACAAGAGAACACTACATTTCAAAGACACTTGCACATCCATGGTTATGGCAGCTTTATTCAAAATTGCTAAGACATGGAATCAACCTATGTACCCCACAGCTGATGACCAGATTGAAAAAATGTGGCACACGAATACTATGGATTCGTAGTCAACCATACAAAACAGTGAGATTATCATTCCATACAAAGTGATGAATATAGAAGATTAAATGCTAAGTGAAATAAGCCAGCCTATAAAAAATAAGCATTGCATATCCCCATTCAATACGTATTGAATATCTGCTCTCTATGGTAGAAATTGAAAGTTTCAAAGACTTGGGGCCAGCAGGTGGCACAGTGGTTAATATGCTGGATTCCACATTGCTGACTACAGTTCAAGTCCTGGGCCTGGACTTCCTTTCTCATTTCTCACTTTCTCTCTCTTTATCTCTCCCCCATCTTTCTCTGGTAAATTAAAATGTAATAATAAATAAAAATTAAGTAAATAGTCATTTCTAAAATTGCTTAGAGACTTAATAGTAGGAAGACAAGCATAAATACTAGAGATTGAACAGGAGGCAGGATGGATAATGGGGATGAGGGGGACCAGCTGTTAGTGTAATGGCTATGTTGTTGGACTCCCACGTAGACGACTGCGGTTTGAGTCCCGAACCTGGTGGCTTAAAACTCACACCAGGCGTGTGTGCGTGCATACCCAAGATCCCGAGAGGAGAATGGAGGAGAAGGGATTGCAGCATAGCCATCCCCCCTTGGGGGTGATTTCTCGCTTTCTATCTCTCTGTCTCTCTCTGTCTGGTGAGCGCACGTGCCCTATAGCAAAAACCTCTCCAAAAAATCCAAATAATGAGGGTGAGGGTGAGGGACTCAAAAGAGCATTTAACACACTCCAGAATGTAACATTCTTTGTTGAAAACAATGTATATGTTAACTTCCTTGTTTTATCACATACTGCATGAATGCTTTGAAAAACCATATTTTACACCACAAAGGTGAACAACAATTAAATGAAAAGTAAACAATATAAAATAAAATTGGAGGAAAATACTACAAAGATTGGTGATTGTTTTTTCTATCCCAATATCAAATGTTTCAGAAAGAATAAAAAGAGACAATTATTAAAATGTCTTCTACAAATCATCATCATATATTGAGAAAACAGAAAAATTGAAAAGAAACCAGATAAAACACAGTGCTAGAGGTTAAAGAACATGTTTTCAAGAACTAATGAAGAATTAGCTGAAAATTAAAACCTACACTATGGAAGCACCCAAATATATGATTCAATATTGGGACTATAAAATCTCAAAAAAGATCTCTTCTGAACAGCCTGAAGTATAGTTTTTGTTTATTTGTTTGTTTTGTTTTGATTTTGTCTTCTTTCAAATTAATACCATTTTTTTAGAGGGGACTATACTTAGACCATCTTAGTTGGTACAGAGGAAAGAAGTGCACTGTTCCAGAGGTCTTTATAGAAATTCTTAAGTCCAAATAGAAAATATATGAACAAAATGAGGGATCTCTAATATAGCATTAATGGATAAAGATAGAAACTCACGGGCTATTACTAAAAAGCCTTGACTTTTATACAATGGGATTATTTTAAATATTAGGTTATCTGAAAACTCATGACATATTTTTCTGTTTTTCTATGCAAAAATGTGTCAAGACTCTTCTGATGTCCAAATAACTCTACGTCTATCCAGTCACAACGTGACATACCACAAGGTGTGGTCATCAGTATCATGACAGTAATAGGAAACTGCTTCTTGAGTTCCCTGCACCATACTTATTTTTTAAGAACCCTGTAAAAGAGCTGAAGGCTTACTGTGAGCAAAAAGCTACATGCACACTTTTGGTTTCATTTGTTGGCTGACATCTAACTCCTTCAGGGTCTGACTGTGGATTTACTTGGATTTTGATAGTCAGCTTAAACTCTAATTGTTTCTCAGAAAATTACCTGACAATAATAGCAGAAATATGTGGATATTTCTGTGGCTCTTGCACCATAAGGATGTGACAGCCTTGCTTCTGTCTCCTAAGTAGCACCTTTGTCCTACGCATATGCCCATGTGAGAGCCCCTTTATGACAACCTTGAGAAAGCTTATTGAGTTATTTTGAAAGAGTAAATATTGTCCAGCATTTCAGGAAACAACTAAAATAGTTATTTGAAAAGATTGTGAGCTTACAATCTGAAAGGGACTGCACCGAGTACTGCACATCTGATGAGGGTCTTGAACCATGAAGTGACAGTTTGAATTTTTCCTTCTCCTTCTCCTTCTCTCCATCTTTACTCCTCTTCTTCCCAGGGTCTTTTGCATCTGTTTTGTCTAACACATTTTAAAAATGACATCAATTTTGTACCCAAAAAACCTCAAACTATGTTTCTTATTCAGTCATGGTGTTATATAATGTGTTTGTGGGGGAGGGGTGGCAAAACACTTATTTAAATGTAAAACTATAGCCAAAGCTTCCCTCAACAATTAGAAATATCATAACAAAGCCAGAGGAAACTTTGAAAATCAGCATGTATTATGAAGGAAATATAGCATTATTTATCACCGACTACACCTAATTTTATGTATCATGGAGATGATTGGTTGAATATACTTTGTTTATATAAAATTATATCAAGCTTATTTTCTCTTTCTAAAATCAAAACCAAAGCCAGTGAAGTGTGTACTGAAAGTTGAGTGCTAACTGTGAAGTATTCAGATCTTCCTAATTAGGAGCTTCCATCTGAAGGAAAGTGTTGGCTTTCTCATGTAATTTACTGAATACTGTACTCACAGTGAGAAATAGAATGTTTTCCTGCCACTACCTAGCATTGTAAGAGAGTATTATACCACATATTATTAGCACCAGAAAAGACCAAAATTCAAAACTGGAAGTACGGTTTCTGCAGAATGCACATCACTTTTGCTTTCTCACCATGGTAAAATTAAAACATTGTAATTAAAAAATTGTACGTCAGAAACCATTTGTTGAATTCTTCTTTGCTAGAATAACACAAATATTCTGTGTCCCACATTACTACCTCTCAGCTTCCACTTTACAGCACTCCTATTCTTTGAGATCAATCTTCTCACAGGTTTGTTTATGTATTATTTTATATCACATTTACTTCCTATCCTTCTCCAATATGCCTTCATTCCAATCACTCTCCAGTTCCTGATGACCTCCATACCTCAAAATCTAGTTGAGAAATTTAAGTTCTTTTATATCTCATCTCTCAACCATAATGTCACAGATGGACAATCTCTATGATTCTTGAAACACTACCCTTGACTTCAATGCCAACATGATCTTCTGTGGTTTTCTTTGATTCTCTGGCTACGTTTTAGTCTTCTTAATGAGCTCATTGTTTTGTACTGACTCCAAACGTTTAGATTCTCTAAGACTTAGTCTCAATTCCTCTAGTCCTTTTACTCCATAGTGTCTCCTTGGAAGATATTTTCCATGGTTTAATTTAGCATGCATTTGTCAATGATTCCTAAATGCATTTTCACTGTCTAGGACTCTTGACATGAAAAATCACTTGGCTATCTTAAAAGCACTTCAAATCTTATTTAAAAAAAAAAAAATTAGAGAGGTTTTTGCTATGGGACACGTATGCTCACCAGAGAGACAGAGAAACAGAAAGTCCACTTTCAGGATCTTGGGCACACACACACACACACACACATACATATGCTCAGCATGAGTTTTTAAGCCACTGGGTCTAGAACTTGAACTGTGGTAGACTATGTGGGAGTCCAGCAACATAACCATTACACCATTTGCTCGTTCCTCCCCCACCTTTTTTAAATCCTACATTTTCAACATTGTTTTCTAATCTCTCTTAATAGGTACTATCATCTCAAAATTCTTTGCCAAATCCTATCAGATTTTGCTTCCTAAATCTCTCTCAAATAAATTACCTTATTTGCATCTCTGTTGTGACTACCCTATTACTCTGTTCCAAGCTGCCATTATCTCTAACCTGAACTGATGTGATAGTCACCAAACTGCTTTTTCTGTGCCCACTCAATCACTGATCTACCTCTCCTGCACCAACATCTTATCTTGTCTTTTCCATGAAGCCAGAGTGATCTTTTTGAAAATACAGATCAGATCATAATGCTCTAAACTTTTTATTGATCATCAGTATCTCTTATGAAAAAGATAAATAATCCTGAATATAACCTAGAAGAGTTGATCTGTTCACTCCCTTTCTTACTTCTCCAGGCTCTTCTCAAACCATGTCATCCCTTCGCTTCCTCTCCTCTTGCTAAACACATCCATTACTAAGTCCTCCAGCACACTGTCATCTCTCCTACTGCCTCATAGTCTTTATCCCTGACATTCGTTCTGCCTGAAGTGACCTTCTCTCCACAGTCCTCAACTTCCTCTAGGTTATTTTCTCTTATCTTTGCAAACATAGCTCAAAATTCCCTGGAGAACTCTTCCCTGATGCTCAGACTAAAAGAGGTCCCCAATGTATACCATAATAGATTTGTATTTCCCTTCTAGGCTGTGCTTTAGTATGTGGTTATAAATTTGTTATTAATGTTAGCCTTTTCAACTAGAATGTGAAAAAATGAATGAATGAATGAGTGTTAACTTGTGAGGCATGGGAAAGGGCTTCTAGGAGCAAATTAATTTGAAATATACTGGATAAAACAGGCTTATTAATTTGCTTTCTTTTATAAGCTGAGGTACATTAAAGCATTTCAAGAGTGGCCTATAGTAGACAGATTTCATTCATATATTTTATCTCAGTATATTTTTGAGAAAAATGGAAAGTGAAAGTTCTGTGCAGTATACTGTGAAAAATGAATGCAGACAAAATCTTGATAAGGAATGATTCTAACAAAATGTTTATAACTTATAAATATTTGAAAGAGCTTTGTAAATACCACAAAGATATACAAAAAATTTGAGTATCATGTAGTAGACTTAATTCTACTTTACTATACAAGCATTTAGTTTTCATATGAATGGTTATATGATATATTTTAGAAGACACAAAATAAACAATTATTCAGGCTAGTAGGTGGTGTGGTAAAGGTGCTGAGTCCTACATTACTGATTCTGCAGTTCAAGTCTCAATCCTGCTGTTTTGAGAATCACATACCTGTGCAAGTATGCTCAAAGTCCTGAGATGAGAGTGGAGGAGAAGGGATTGTGGTGCAGCCATCCTCCCAGGGGGTGATTTACCACTTTATCTCTCTCTGCCTCTCCACAATGAGTGCACACACCCTGTGACATAATCTAAAAATAAAAAAATAAATATTCTCTCTATATATTATACATTCTAAGAATAAAAATGATTGTGTACTTTGTAAAATAATTTGAAATCATTTTTCCTTCTGACAGGAACTTCCACTTTTTAATAAATTATTAAAAAATCATGATTTAATCTGTCCTCATTTTACATTTTCTGAAAAAGAAAAATTTTTTGAAAAGGATAACTCTTCTGTCTCTTTTTTTGGGGGGGAGTCTATTTCACTCTGCTTATAACATATTAGAAACATGTGCTTGATGGAAATGGAGAACTACATATCTCTTCTTATATTAATAACACATCTGGTATCATCAAAGTAGACAATTGATTCTGATTTTTTAACGTAAACAAAATATGAAACAAAGCTAACATATAACTCCATTAAAAATTCTAAAGTACTAGAAAAGAAAGATCTTAATTACATGACTTCTTTTACAACATTTAAGAAATAATAATGACAAAAAAGAAGCATTAGATTTAATAATGATTATAAAGCATTTGCATGTAAAGTCTATATTAATAACATCTTGTTGTAAAATGTCTTACCCTTTGAAATTTTGTCAAATTTCTCAGGACCTCTTAGTGTTGTCGAGGAACCATCGGGTCTGAAATCCTTCAAGTCTTTCACTTCCTTTCCATCTTTCATTTCCTTTATATCCTTTCCTTCTTTGCCATCTTTCACCTCTTTC